CACGGCTGGGAAATCGCGGGCGTTGAAGGTCGTATCATACCAGCTACCATCGATACCATATCCACTCTCTGAAAATGTAAGGAAAAGTGCTGACAAACTGGTACATATAATCATCATATTTTCACATAAGAACTATGTCTTTATTTGCATGTTTTAAACACTACTGAATGTCATTTAAGCAATTTAACATTTAGGCTCGAAAAATAGTTTCAAGCAAACTTACTGCCATCCCCGCACATGTGATTGAATACAACATCTACATAAATATTGATGTTTACAGCGTTGCATCGATTTACCATATCAATGAATTCAGCTCGATCACCACTTCTACTAACCATTGAATAACTCACAGGCTGGTAGCGTTCCCACCATGGTCGCCATTGCTCTTCTGTTACAACACGATGTTCATTGGCAGGGGATACCTGTACACCACCTAACCAATATGGCGCAAAGAACCTGAAAATATGATCCGATACCATCTATTATGAACAGTAATGTCATAAACGTTTTAAATGTTTCGAGGTTTTTTCAAGGTAATGATAGAAAATGTCAGCAACAATCTGGCATTGTCACCTGGAAACTTGAGTGAAATGTATTTGTCGATTCAAAACGACATGTGATACAGGGTTTCATAATGCAATCATAATTGAATTGTTATTATTGTACAATTACATTTTTATTTTTGTGTAATTTGTATACTGTAATTTGTAATTTGTAAAATTAGATTTAATTGGAAATACTTATGTCATTTTATTGTCGACGTATTATCCGTGGTATTCGTAAATAAGAAGTTTTCTTCAGAAATTTACCACCCGATTAAATACAAATTCACCTAAAATCATAAAGTACTCATCATATGTGAGGTAGTTTTGATGAAAGCAATGAGAAGGAATTACATTTGTTGCAATGTTTTTTCATCACTAGCAATCGAGTTAAAACGTTTATTTTGTGAATTAGTAGTCAACACATAATCACAATATCACCAGATGGAGAATATTGCAGTGTGAACGGTTTTCTTAACACATTCGGTATCTTAACACATTCAAACAAATGTCTTACTCAAAATCTCAATCAATGATATGATGCACATAGGTGCTCCTAGAGCTGTGAAACAGCAAACATGCACATATATTTGGAACGAGAAATCAAACTATCTTGCGAAGATATGTGTAAATTTATCAATAACTTTAATTTAATTGATTTCGATAACTCTCAACAGGCAGTTGATAAAGCCACAGCCATAAAAAATAAGGCAAAGACAGAGAAATTGGCACCCATGTGAATTGACTAATCTCAAGAAAGGATGTTAATGTGAATTTCAATATATATACAAACAGAACAGGTAATAGTTTGTGCTGTACAATGCTTGTTTTTAAACAAATACAATAATCATTAAAAGAAACATTAAATAAGAAACACACATTTTATAATTTGATTATTGTTCCTTCATGTCAATCTTTATAATTTTACAGTCCATCCACATTCAAGCACGTTGCATATATTGGCGGCTGTGACTGTCACTTTAGTTAATGTCTATTGATTCACAGTTTATGGCATGTCGTTTGATTCACGAGGTATAAAGTTTATTTGACAGTATGTACAAGAAAAAGCTGCTAAACAAATATCCAGTGATAACTACAATATCATATATACTGGATACATGACTTGAGGATCTTTTTACAGTTCGAATCAGAAAGACAGCCAAGATAAGATGAGAGTGGTTGGAAGGGTTATTGCAAATGGCTTATAGGTGTAATATAATAATGTATAATGACATGCAGTGTTTTGATGTCATTATTAGAAGTAAACATGTATTTAACCAATCAACGCCTGATAACGATACACTTATTGACAAGGATTGCACATAACATAATAGTCAGAGGTGTTCATAAAGACCAGCAAAGCAGCAATGTTATATTTCTTGCTAGAATTGTCTAAATGTAAGAAATCTGATCGCAAGTCTCTATTGTGCGATTCTCGTTGTGTTCATTTTGTACGCGTTTGAAACATTTCATAGGTTATTTTTTCCTATATAAATCAGTCAGTGAGTTTAGAGGTACAGATCTCATTATAAGGTATCTGAAGTTTATGGTAAGAATTTGGGTGGATTTGGGTCTAAATTTTATATGTCAGGGATCTTTTGTTATTGCCTGCTGTTAAGAGGAACTTATAAGGTAGTTGCGAAGTGTGGGGAAGGCGGGGAATTTTGGTTGTGAAAAAAATAAGATCACATACTGTCTGCCTGGTGTGTGAATAATTTATTTATTCAACTTTTTGGTTGATCATCTGGAGAGCAAGTTGTACATATATACCTCATCAGCATACATTGAACATTTAAATCCATGTCACACATTAGGAATACCATTCACAAACAAAAAGGCCAAGTAGTAAACCATGCGCAACTCCATATGCCACATAGCCTTGTCAAAAATAACAAAGATATATTTAAATATATTTAAACACAAGTTACTCACTTTTCGCATTCTGAAGCTACATCGGACCACTTCCACTCAAATAAATGGACGATGGACTGACGGTTTTCTTTCATATGATGGTCCCACTGGCAATATGCTCCAGCGGTTAACAACAACACATAAAACAATGAATGTGTCATCTAGTAAAAACAACAAAAATATAGGATAAAGCTTGCAATACGTCAACATAATATGCATATAAATAGAAGTGGTTTTGTCCAACATACCTTTCAGATGTAAAGCTACAGTGGGTATACAGAGTGATAACGCATACCATTGACTTATATACCTTATAATACAGCATGGGAATTTCACAAATGTTCTCAAATGTAATCAGCTGTCTTATCCTTAATCTCTTTATGAATTATCAATATACATATTCTTTCTATTTTGGATTAACAATGTTCGTATCTTCTCCGTTTTGGATATTATATCAGAAACAACACCAAAGTCAAAACTCCATTTATCAATATTTAGTCAGGTTGTTTCAAATTTTAGTCTTACAAACACACACCTCATTTAGTTAATCATATCTGGGAATGTCCCAGATGTGAGTATATGCCTAGCCAAAAGATTGTACCATCCCGTATCTGTTGTTGATATGACATGGTTCTTTTTAATCAGCATAGTTGAAAACGTGCTTAGTCATAGCATCGTTTATACAGTTTTTGGCAATAGTAATGATTTTCTCATGAACTGACCTTGAATTATTATAGAAGGTCAACTGTGGTAGTAATGACACATACATAAGAATTGTTGAACAACTTTTCCAATAGTTCAGATGAACCTCTGACAGATTAAATATGAAAAGGGACGCTTCTCCCTAATTAATCAACGTTATCAGTATTTCAGACCAACATTAAAAATTAGTATGCACTTTGTTGACATAAACTGCTGAACATCTGCTATAGAGTATATTTATTATACATATTCAAATGATTTGCAATGTGACACAAAAACAGGATAAAATTCAAAGAACCCTTTGACCGAAATAAATATAATCAATAATTGATGGTTGTAACTACTTACTATCGTGGATCAACCGAGCTGTCATCAACCGAGCTGTCATACTTTTTATTTTATTGATCCTAAATTCAGAATAAAGGGTTTTAGAAAGATGTCCAACTACTTGCTGTGCTAATCATTCCTATGATTGCTGGAAAATATTACAAGCATTGATGGTAATTCATGTGAATGTTTGACGTTGAGCAATCCAGCATATGACTCTGTCACATAGTGATCCTGAAGTAGGGTAAGCGTGTTAGATGTTCTGAAGACCATATAAATCTGAATTCAATGATGGGAATATTTATCTGTATCTTACTGATGTTGCAATAAAAATCTACGTTGAACATATATTTTATTAATGTACTTTTCTTGTATACTAGGTTTATAAGTCAAATAGTGCATGAATTGATTGATTGGTTATGTCACGAGGCTGTGGATTCTAATTCTAATAAGAATGTTGTGTTGTACACAAGTGGTATAATTATGTATTTAATTATTACCATATATGAACTAATAAGCACCCACATTCAGAGGTAGGATATATAGTTAGGTGCATACATTAGTTTAACTAGGGAAAAGGTGGAGGAGTTGGTGGCGGCTCAATGTACTATGATGGCTTAATTATCGTGTTATTAAACCAATTCTGAGGTACCAGAGTTCGGGGAGTTCGCCACCTTTTCACTGAACAAAGCACACAGAGAATGGAATTGTGTCAACTTCTCATTTCAGCGCCAAGTGGGAACTGCCTGAGATTCCTTTATTTTCCCTTTCAAAACCATCGCACCTTACATGGAAGTTCAAGAGCTCGAGGCGTGGTCTCCACACATATAACCAATCACACGAAGTATTTAACACGCCATAATATATCTGATTAATTGCCCCCATATGTTAGGAAATACCTTCTACATTGAAACCGTTAGTTTATACCCATGGATTAAAACAACATTCCATAGTTGACATTTATATCCGCCAGTTGTTCCACTCTCTGATCCCACTAATCCCCTGACATGCGTATGAACCTGTTCATGACAAGTTATGAGCAGGTGTGGGTTGATATCGTCCAGATCCCTCATCCGATATCAACTATCCAAGGGTCATCAGTGACTGTCGTTATAATTGCCAAAAGCGGGCTCACATCTAAAAACATATAAATATAAATCATGACAGTACGTTAATACACAAAAACAAAATAACGAACAGCGAGAAGACAATGTGTGCTAACCTTCAAAAGAAATGTTGAAGAAGCCATTAAATTTGAGCAAGGAAAGGTAAATTTGAGAGAAAGCTATAAATCTTAAACATGCAAAAAAGCCAAACTTGAGCGCGAAAAGGCCAAACACGCTGCTATCGAAAGGAAATTTAATTAATTAACTTTAAAATGAGAACAGGCAACAAGTGCTAGTTAGATAGGGTTAGATAAATTTAAGAATACATTTGAAGAACTTGATAACTATAAAACTGATGTATTTTACTTAGAACTTAGGCAAGATGGGTTGAACAAGGTGAAAAAGTACTCTGCAGTTAAAAAAAACGTAACTTCACCAGAAAACACACCAGGAAGCTAAAAATGAACGACTACTTTTTACTTATTTTACTACTTCTCCTAAAGAAATGATATGTCTGCAACATAATTTCTACAAAGAACTTTACCGTTCTCGATCTAACCTTATCTATGATGGAGAGCTCTCTCAGTATATGAATTTACAAACAGTCAATTTAACAGCAAATGATAAACTATCATGCGAAAGCTTACTTAGCATTGATGAATGTTCAAAGTGTCTGAAATCTATGCCATCATTTAAACCACCGTATTAACAGTTAACGGTTGAATTTTATAGACAATGTTGGGGGTGGTTCGAATAGTTTTAATTAATCATATGAAAATGGACATTTTTCTCACTCAAAGAAACAAGCGGTAATTCTAATACTCTAATTGAAAAAAAAAGAAAGACAGAACAGCTTTGAAAAATTTGAGATCTATTTTCTTATTGACTGTGGAATATAAAATTGCATCCAAAGCATTGTCAAGCAGAATTTCGAAAGTATTGCCGAGTATACTGGTTATATTAAATGTAGATATATTGGTGAAAGTATACGCAGTGTTGAATACAATGAACTATAATAAGATTCAAAACATACTTGGTATCCTTGTTTCAGTTGATTTTGAGAAAGATTTAGATACCCTTGGATTCGGACCATCTTTCATTCATTGGGTTCAAACCTTCTATAGAGGTATTAGTAGTTGTATTATTAATAACAGCGTTACATCTGGTTATTTTGAGGTGGGCAAGCAGATCCTTTCTCACCTTATCTTTTGTTACCGCAGTAGAGTTGCTGCCAGTCTCAGTCAGGCACAATAAACATATTAAGGGTATCAATATCTGTAATGAAGAATTAAAACTCGTCCAATATGTGGATGACACCAAAATGTTGTTTGCCGATATTCATTCCGCAAATTATTTTTTCTAACTGTCAGGGAAGGATTGAGACTGTAAACGGGGGAGGTGTGAACCGGAGATCTTTATTCGGAGTCGTGACATCAGATAAGTACAAAAGTTGTATATGGGCGTTGGCTCAACGGCCAAGCCCAAAGAGCGAACAAGTGGACTAGGTCCGGTGTGTCTCCCTGAGTCTATATATGTGTCTCTTGAAGTCTAGAGTAACATGTCTTTTTATAAGCTAAATCACGTGATCCAAATTGACACGTTACATGACTCAAAACACCTTTTATGATAGGACAGTGATTCAATACACCCGCATAAGATTCCAGAAATGAAATTCATTGAATAATTGGATTTGGTCGCTTTGGTTCATTACGCATGTAAAAACCAATTCAATTATTAGGCATATTTGTTTCTTAAATAGAAGAAAAAAAGAAATGTGTTTTAATATGCCGAGAAAGTTAATTACTACGGCGTGCTTGAATTTCTATTAAGCAGCAATTATAATTTAAAAACCTTGTAAGAGCAATTCCCAATTTTATATGAAGAAATATTGTTTAGTTAGTTTCAAGTAAGCGTTCTATTTCACGTTATCTACTATAAATTGTGTCTCAGAAATAACAAGTCGGTTTTCTGGAAAGATTTATTCCAAGGCATCATCGAATTGACTGAGGTGGGCTAGTTCGGTTACCAGCCACAAGTCATCATTATGTGGGAATCAAATGAATTGTCAATTATGCGTTAGTTAGTAATTTTTCAACGGAGCAATATATTGGCTGTAAAAATAAGCCATGGTAACATTTCAAGAATCTAACACGGTAACATTTCAAGTGACTACCATTCACTGCATTCCATTTACCCTACCATTCACTGCATTTCCTCTACCCAACCTTCACTGCATTCCATCTACCCTACCGTACACTGCATTCCATCTACCTTACCTTCACTGCATTCTATCCACCCTACTTTCACTGCATTCCATCTACCCTACCTTCACTGCATTCCATCTACCCTACTTTCACTGCATTCCATCTACCCTACCTTCACTGCATTTCATCTACCATACCTTCACTGCATTCCATCTACCCTACAATTCACTGCATTTCATCTACCCTACCTTCACTGCATTCCATCTACCCTACCATACACTGCATTCCATCTACCTTACCTTCACCGCATTCTATCCACCCTACTTTCATTGCATTCTATCTACCCTACCTTCACTGCATTCCATCTACCCTACTTTCACTGCATTTCATCTACCCTAGCTTCACTGCATTTCATCTACCCTACCTTCACTGCAT